AAAGAAAGTGAGCTCAAGGTCACAGGTAGGAAAGGACAGCCAGAATTTGACCACACGACCTCTAACTCTAAGGCAAACCCTCTTTCCACTATAGGAAACTGCCTCCCTCTGTAAAATGAGAGCAGTAAGACCAGATGATCCCATTAATATAATTATAAAAGCAAACCATTTATTCTCTCTGGGTCTCAGTTTCCTTCCCTGCAAAATGAGGTTGTAGGATTAGGTAACCTCAAAGGTTTCTGTGATTACTATCTTGCTAATGTCTTTAGACAAGTCACTTTTCCCCTCTGAGTTTCCTCACCAGTCAAATGAAAAGGTTTGCAACGATCAGATGATCTCTAAGGTCACTTTCCTGCTAGCAAATTGGACACTTCTGTGACTGTGCTTTCCGCCATGCTACTTAGAGTAAGGCAGTGCTGGGTCTATAGGTTCTTTTTTTTTTTTTTTTTTGGCAATTGGGGTTAAGTGACTTGCCCAGGGTCACGCAACTAGTAAATGTCAAGTGTTTGGTCTGAGGCCAGATCTGAACTCAGGTACTCCTGATTTCAGGGCCGGTGCTCTATCCACTGTGCCACCTAGCTGCCCCACTATGGATCTGTAGGTTCTTGAAAGGAGCTCCTTCTCAGCTTGGGTATGGAGACAGATAGACTGGAGGCAGAGCTAGGTTGGTTTATGACTTGGACAGAATCAGAAGAAAGCCACATGTCCTCCTCTTTGCTGCTCCTAGAGCCCATGTCCCCTCCCCTAGTAAGGCTGATTGGTGTGGGGTAGGGAGCTGGAGAGAAGCGCCCTTACATCTTCCAGTCTCAGCTCCAGATTGGGACCCAGTACTCTGAGTACCTAGTCATCTATTCTTTCTGCCAATAGTACACTTCCTGTCCCTACAGTGGCCTCATCATTGTCCTATTCATTACAACTCATATTTCTCCCCACCCTAATTAATCATTGTCATAACCAAAGAATTCATCTGCAAAACCAGGAGAACATTGTACATAGCAATAGCCATGTTGTGTGATGACTGACTTTGACAGACTTAGCTCTTCTCAGCGATGCAAGGATCTAAGACATCTCCAAAGGTCTCATAATGGAAAATGCTCTCCACATCCAGAGGGAGAACTATGGAGTTTGAATGCAGATCGAAGTAGACTGTTTGCTCTCTTTTTTTCTTCTGTTGTGATTTGTTTCCTCTTTCTGGTGGTTCCTCCTATTGGTTCTAATTCTTACAACATCACTCATGTGAAAATATGTTTAATAGGAATGTATATGTAGAGCCTATATCAGATTGCGCTCTTGGAGAGGGAGTCAGGGAAGGAGGGAGAAAAAAATGTAAAACTCGACCCCTTATGGAAGTGATTGTTGAAGACTAAAAATAAATTAATAAAAAAAGAAAAAAAAAGAATTCATCTGCAAGTGTCAGAGTATTGCTAATGAGTCTCTATGTGCAGCTTGGCTGGCACTGTGGGGACAGTATGCCAACAAGCATCTATTAAGTACCCATGTGGGTTGTACTCTGGGCACCCAAAGAGGAAACCCCAACAGTCCCTGCCTTTAAGGATGGGGCATTTGGTGAAGGACCCCCTAGCACCCCCCAGACCTAGCTCAAGGACCTTGCCACTTGGAGGGCAAGTAGTCTGATGTTTAAAGAAAAACAAGAGGAAATAAAGGGGGAAAAAACAAAGAGAAAGAAAAGGTAGCAAGAGCTTGAAGCCAGTTGGAGCCAAAAATTCATGCAGCAGCGGAAAGCAGAGTCAGAAGGCTCCGTTCTTTGAGAGCCTCTGTCTACCTGTGTGACCTCCATCAGGCCACTTAAGCCTCAGTTTCCTCCTCTGAAAATGAAGGCTTTGTGCCTGATCACATCTGAGACCCTCCCAGCACTAGCTGTATGACCCTGGGGCCTCCTGCTAGTTTCTGGGTCCTCCTCTAATTTTTTGCCTGTGTATTTGTCTGGGGCAGATGTAGCCAGAGTGTTCATCTGCCCTTTGTTTCTGCTTTCTGCTTTCTTCTCACATTTCCTTGACTTCTTTAAGCCCATTATTCTTAGGGCCCAATAATATTCCATTTTTCCATCAGCCATTGGCCAGTCATAGAATTCTGTGGTTCATGACATTGCTGGAAGATCAGGGATGTGAAAGAGATAGACTGTTACTCTAGGGAGAGGCTCAATGTCATCGAACGCACGAAGATCTTTCCCAAAGGTGCTCTCATCCACTCACTCAATTCTGGCCCCAGGTTATTGTCTGTCATCAGTGCCCATCCACGATATATCAATGAACATTTATTTATTTATTGATTTTTTTTTAAAATTAATTTATTTTGATTTATCAACAATGACTTCCATAAGCTTTTGAGTTTTAAAATTTTCTCCCCTTCCCTCCTCCCCCTACCCAAGACAGCACGCAGTCTGATATATGCTCTACATACACAATCCTATTAAACATATTTTCACATTAGTGATGTTGTAAGGAAGAATTAGAACCAATAGGAGAAACCACCAGAAAGAGGAAACAAAACAAAATAGAAGAAAAAAAATAGCAAATAGTCTGCTTCGATCTGCATTCAAACCAATGAGCATTTATCAAGAACTTACTACTTGCCGGGAGCTAAGCCAAATGCTGAGATACAAAGAAAGGCAAAAAGAATCCCCACCTTCAAGGAGTTTACATTCTGATGGGGAAAGGGCTAGGCAAAAGGACTGACTTGTGAAATTGCTAGAGGTTATAAGGAACTCTAGACAAGGGCATTTCTTTTGCTATTGAAAGTTGACACCTTGAGTCTTAGAGAGTTGCTGAGAGTACTGGGAGTTTAAGCATTTGCCCAGGGCTACATAGCTGCTGACTGTTGTCAGAAGCAAGAGGGAATGTAGATCTTGGCTTCAAGTCTACTTCTGTATCCACCATGTCATACGGTTTAACAGTGGAGACAACATCTACAGAGTGTGTACATACAAGATGCTTACAGAGTAGATGGATGGAACCTTAGAGAGGAAGGTTGGAGCTGGTCTGGGAAAGATCTCTTGTAGATAGTAGCCTTTGAGCTAAGTCCTGAAGGAAACCGAGGATTCTCATAGACAGAGGTAAAGAGGGAGAATATTTCAGTTTTGAGGGTCTCCCAAGAGATCAGCTCACAGGCTGTCCATTTACCCAATATGACATAGTATGGACAATATGCAGTCTTCATCCACTTAATTTTCCTTCATTAGGTAGAACTCATTTGAGCAACCATGAGTCTGATTAAGGAGGCTGTGTCATATTTAAGGACAATGCAATTAGTGCATAATTTAAAAAAATCGATGCAGTGGGAGGACCTCATTGTGTACAGGGAATGCTTTTTCTATTTGGGTTCTGTGCTGGGCTTCCCCCATGAGAGAGGCCAACATGCTTGGTGACCCTGTTTCCCTTGCCGCTCTTGAGATCTAGAATGAGAGGTACAAAGTTCTCTGTTATTCATCTGTTGAGAAGCCAGATTTTACTGGAGAAGGCTGATTTTTGTTCTACCGAATTGCATTCTTTGAGTCCCAGTGGGCTCTTGCATTCTGTATCATACAGTAAAAATGTAGTCTGCTGTCCAATATCACTTGTGAAAACTCACCCTTTCCTTTCTCATATTTTCATCCATATACATACAGCTTATTCTTATAAAGATCTGATAGAGATGAGAAAATAGGCAAGTGGGTCAGGAGTTATTGATCAACTTTATATGAATTAACTTTTTTTCAGTAGTAACATGTGCCCCCCTCCCAATCATTTAGTACTTTCCATTTCCCCCCAATATTTCCCCAATATTCCCTCAATGCCCTTAAAATTATATTAGCTCTGGCACAGACCTCTTTATTTTTAATTTAATTTTTATTCTGAACTTAAACACCAAAAAAAAGAGCCTCAATCCTCATCCCATTAAAAAGCAAGAGAAAAAAAAACCTTGTTGCAAACATGCAGAGTCAAACAAAATAAATCTACACAGTATCTGTGTCCTGGCTGGGTCCAAAAATGTCTGTTTCTTTCTGTGCTTCCCGTCCATCACTTCTCTGTTAAGGGGTGGGTAGCGTGTTTCATCACCAGTCCTCTGGAAACATGGTTGGTCATTACATTAAGCGGAGTCCTTGAGTCTTTGAAAGTTATTTTTTCTTTTCATCGTTGTCCTTGTATACAGTGTTCTCTTGGTTCTTCTCACCACATTCTGCATCAGTTCATACTACCCAGGACTCTCTGAGATTGTCTCTTTTGTCATTTCTTATGGTGCAATAATATTCTGTTCCATTCATAAACCAAATTTGTTCAGCCATCCCATTCATCTAAGAGACAATCTAATGCGTCGCCTTAGAATCAGATTCTGGTTCTTTGCTTTGCTTCTCTCCTCCTTTTTCTCCCCCCTTCAGGATCAGGATGCTTGGTTTGTAGGGACTCTTCCCTCTCCAGCATTATTCCTCCCTCCTAATTTCCCCCAACCTTACTTCCTCTACCCCACATTGAGCTGGTATATTTTTACCAAATCTTTTATGTGCTTTCTGCATGTGTATGTGTGTGTGTGTGCCTGAGCCCGCATGTGCATATGTGTGCGCGTGCACACATGGGTGTGTGTATATGTATGCGCACATGTGTGTAGTGTGTGTGTGTTCGGCTCTGACCTTTCCGTCAGAGATGCTTGAAAGTCCTCTATTTCATTCAAAATCCATTTCCCTCTATAGGGTTGTGCTCGGTTTTGCAGAGTAAGTTATTGTTGGTTGCCAGCCTAAATCTTTTGCCTTTTGAAATATTGTATTCCAAGATCTCCTATGTATAGACTTGGAGGATCCTGACTGTGGTCCCTGCATATTGGAGCTGTTTCTTTCTGAATGTGCGCTGTACTTTTTCCTGTAACACAGGAGCTTCGGATTTTGGCCATGACATTGTTAGGACCTCTCCTTTTGGGGTTCCTTTCAGGCCATTATTGTTGGATTTTTTCTATGTTTATTTTCCCTTTGGGTTCTAATAAATCTGCTCTTCTCTCTTTCCATAGTACTGCTTCAAGATGTGGGGCTACCTTACTGTCTTGCTGCTGTCATCACTGCTACCGGCCTCCTCTCAGAGGAAAGTCACCAGTATCTGTCCCCGGTCCTGCATCTGTGATAACAGCGAGAGATCTGTCTTGTGCCAGCACCAGAACCTCACCGAAGTGCCAGCCTCCATTCCCCAGGTGAGCTGGAGCACCCCAGCTCAGGGTCATGGGACCCATGGTGATGGTCAGAGATCTCGGCCAAGGCAGCAGAGCTTGGGAAGTGGGGATGCTGGCACACTCACCACTGCACCCGGAAGTTTGTGCGTGGGTCGGTGAGTCAGTGTAAGCCTTCGTTATCCACCTAAGCAGCAAGCCCAGTGTTCATAGACGTCTGAGTGGGATGTGCTCGGCTCCACTGGCCTCCTCCTCCACCAGGGCCCTCCTGATGCCCCCAGAAATTCCTTTGTATCTACTTCACAAATTTTTGTGCTTATCTTCTATACATTGTTTCCCCCACCTACAGAATGTAAGCTCCCTGAGGGGAAGGACTGTTTTGTTTTGGGCTTTGTCTCCCTAGCTCCCTGTACAATGCCTAGCTTGATTAATGTTAGTCAGATGAACGAATGAATGAATGGAGTGAATGAATAAAGTCCTTACCCTTAGCCTTCACCAAGAATGCCTGCTCCTGGCTCTCCATCTTCCTTGGTTATGATTTAGCTGGATGGCTTGGGGTGTCTTGGATGACTGAGAGAGTCTTTTCACTATTTCACGATTCACAATTCTTTTACGTTGAGTTGCCTCCATATTGAAATCCTAATTAACCCATAAGACCCAGTTCAAGTGCCACCTCTCACATGAAGCCTTCCCTGATTATACCTGTTGTCAATGGTCTCCCTTGGACCTCATGGAGTATTTTGATTTGCTTCTCTCACATGTACTTATCACATAATATCTTAAAATATTATATCATATATCTAATGTGATATGATGTATCATAATTCACGTATCTCCTTGCTAGACTGGTCCAGCCCATTCAGAGCCCCTGGCTCCAAAAGGCGATGCCACAGTGCTAGAAATGGAGGGATATGAGACAGCATAAGGACAGTGTCACATCTGAGCCACGTTTCTTTCCCAGCTACCTGCCTTGAGTTCTGTATAAAGTTGGCCTGAATTTTTTTTCCTTTGGACCAGAAATTTCATCAGTGTAAGGAATTTCTAGTTCATGTGGCCAAACCTTCAGCTGCTGGAGAGCAATATCTTCTTTCCACCTTCATCCCTGGAGGATTTCCTAGGACACTGAGAGGTCAGATGTGCTGGCTGTCATCATACAGCCAGGATGCGACAGAGACACAGATCTCCACTATGCCTTATTGCTTCTCTAGTAGGTGAAATGTTTGTGAAATGGATGAATGAAGGAATGAAGGAATAACCAGGACTTGGTGCGCATTCTCTCTTCATGGCACTCATCTAGGGAAGGTCATTTATAAAGTTATAATGACAAGAATGCTGAACTTGGAGTCAGGAGATCTGGACTCAAAGCCTCGGTTGAATACATTAATAATTAGGAGTTCTTCTCTGGGACTCAGTTTCCCTATATGTAAATCTGGGAAAATATTACACTCTCTAGAGAAGGAATGTGGTATAATGGCAAGAGGGACAAGCCTTAGAGTCTGGAAGACTTGAGTTCAAATCCAGGCTCAGACACTTACTAACTGGGTGACCCTGGACAGGTCACTTAACTTCTGTTTGCCTCAGTTTCCTCATCTGTAAAATGGAAATAATAATAAGTACCTGCCTTCCAGGATTGTTGCCAGCATAAATGAGATAATAATTGTAAAGTGCTTAGCACAGTGCCTGGCACATAGTAAGCATATATAAGCCAAGCACATATCAAGGTTAGCTATTATTATCATTGCTATCGTTATTATTATATAATTATTACTTAACCTCTCACTGTCTTGGAGAACTCCCCAAGACCATAATTTGTAGACAGTTTATCAATCTGCACTGGTGGAGGGAACCATCACATCAAAAGTTCTCTTCCCCAATGAAATCATGAGGCTGAATTTAAAAAAGAAATCACTTCTTATTTCACAGGACTTTTGTGAGGACAGTGTTTGACAAAGAAGTGGGAGGTATTGTGTAAGATGTGTCTATACTTAGGAGATCAGAGATCCAGTGAAGTATATGTAGGTCCTGCATGACTTTAGGACCTTTCACAGGAAGAGTAACATTCAGGCTCTCATGCAGTCTCTGCCATGGTTCAAACTATAGAACTAGAGTTCCATACTATTTGAACCATGGTTCAAACTAGAAACCATAAATCAAATAGCAAAGCTTTTAATCAGGCTATGGTAGCAAAGTAAATCATAAAAGGAAATTCCTTTATACACAAAGGTGCCACTCTCTCTCAGAGTCCCATGCTAGACAACACATGTTCCTAGGGTTTTCCTGGACGAAACACCTTTCCCAGCTCTCATCCCACCCCTATAGCTGACAGGCTTTTCTGCTGCTAAAGCTGTGCCTTATTGCTTCTCCTCAGAGCTTATGGGCTTCTCATTTTCTGCTGAACTCCTGCCATCTAAATAGTGTGTCTTCTGGTGCTGGGGTTCCTTTTTCCTCAAAGCGAGTATTACTGCTCTTTTGTGAGATGGCTCAGTCAACATAACTGGGGCCAGGCAACACATTTGTAGCTCCTTTGTCAGACCCATCTGGCCTTTAAATGAGGGACTCATTAGTCCCTCGAGTCAAGATCTATTTTTTTCCCCTTATTGTACTTGCTACATCTTCAGAGAGTCACTCTGGGTTCCCTTGATATGTAGATTGAGGTAGTACATTTCTTTCAGTTTCCATCGTACTGCTGGCAGCTAGTGCCAAAGTTATGAAAGTTACTCTGGAGCTTCAACAGGCCTCAAGGTGTCACTTAGCAAAAATGCAGGGGGACATAGTAAGCTTTGCCCTCCATCCTGCTGTACACAGATCACTATCCCTGTTTTTATGGATTTATTTATTTTGTTTTTCATTCAACAAACATTTATTAAGCACTTACTCTGTGCCAGGTACTGGGGATACAATTTTTTTCTAATTAATTTAATTTTCAGTTCCAGATTCTCTCCCTTCCCTGACCCCATCCTCCTTTCCACCCACTGAGAAGGAAAGAAATAGAAAACCTGTTACAAATAGGAAGTCATATTCCTATGCCTCTTAAAGAATCATGGAGGTATCACCATAAAGTATGATTCTCTTCTTATTAACAGATGACTCGGAAACTGGATCTCCAAGGTAATGTTTTAAAGGTGATTCCTCCACGGGTCTTCCAGCCCTTCCTCCACCTGGCCCACCTGGATCTGCAGGACTGTCAGCTCGAGCAGTTACAGAAGGGGACCTTCGCCGGCCTGGTGTACCTGACCTACCTCAATCTGGCCTCCAACAACATCTCTGTTCTGCACAAAGGGACCTGGATGGGCTCATCCTCCTGAGGCAGCTGGTGCTAGAGAACAACCAGCTGAAAGAGATCCAGCCGGGGACCTTCAACCAGTTGCCTTACCTTAACCTCCTCAACTTGGCTCACAACTCCTTGGCCCACCTGCCCGACATGGCCTTCCAGGGGCTCTTCAGTGCATGGTGGCTATGCCTCTCCCACAATGCCCTTACCAACTTGGCCCCTGAGTCCCTGGCGGGTCTCCCACACCTTCGCCGGCTCAGCCTGGACCACAATGAGCTGCGGGCCCTACCCTGGGAGGCTCTGTCACACCTGCGTGGCCTGGCCCACCTGGATCTGGGCCACAACCCCCTCACCATCCTGGGAAAGGAGGAAGGGCTAGCACTGCCAGAACTGCGCTACCTGGCCCTTGAGGGGGCCTCTCTACAGACTGTGGAGGTGGGTGCTTTCTCCCGCTGTCCCCACCTCTACACTGTGGACCTCCGGGACAACCAGCTGAAGATGCTGCCTTCGCTAGAGGGCATGGACCGGCTGCATAAGCTCAATCTGAGTGGAAACCCATTGCACTGTGACTGTGCTGCCCGGCCCCTGTGGGACTGGGCCATCAGGAACTGGGTGATGATGGACGGGCTGTGCAGAGAGCCCAGGCTGCTGAGAGGAGAAGCTTTGGAGTCCCTGAGGAAAGAGGACTTGCGCTGTGAGGGACGCGGAGATGGAGAAGAGGATCAGGAGCCCACTGGGGCCCCAGAGGAGGACAAGGCTGCCAAGCCCTGCCCCTTAGCTTGCACCTGCTCGTCTGTTTCCCACCATAGTAGCTGTGAAAACAAGGGGTTGAGGCTCATCCCCTCAGGATTCCCCAATACCACTCAGGTCCTAGATCTGAACTGGAACAAGTTCACTTCCGTGCCTCGGTTCTCCTTCCCAAGCCTAGGCCACCTCGTATCTCTGCACCTCCAGCATTGCAGGATCGCTCACCTGGCTCCAGGAGCCTTCAGTGGATTGGGCCGGCTGGTCTACCTCTATCTGTCTGACAACCAGCTCTCCGAGCTCAGTGCTGTTGCCCTACAAGGCGTGCCTCGACTCCGTTACCTGTACTTGGATCGCAACTACTTCACAAGGGTGCCCAGGGAGGCCCTGTGGGCTCTGCCCAGTTTGGTTGGCCTTCACCTAGAGTACAATGCACTCAGAGATTTAGCTGGGGGAGAGAATCTTCATTCGCTCCATCTGAGTGAGAACAACATCTCTCAGGTGTCATCTGGCCCAGCTCAGAACCTGGAGGGACTTTATATGGGCAGCAATCAGTTGCAAACCGTGCCAACAGGGGCTTTGGAGGGGCTGCCTGCCCTCAGGGAGCTAGAGCTGTCAGGCAATCCCCTCCGGGTCCTGCAAGAAAGAGCCTTCATGCCGGTGGCCAAGTCCTTACAACACCTCTATCTAAATAATGCTGGGCTCCAGCAGGTGAGTGCAAGGAGATGGAGCCAGGCAGCTTCCTGAAAGGAAGAGGACACCAGGGCATACCCAAGTAGCCAGCAGAAAGAAGCAGGCAGGCATTTATCCAAGGATTTGGGGACTTATTCTATTTACACAGAGAATGAAGGAATGGGTGGATGGATGGATGGATGAATGAATTAATGAATGCATGAATGAATGAATGAATGTAAAAACATTTATTAAGCGTTTAACATGTGCTAGGAGGAGGAAGAGAGGCAAGCATTTATTAAGGTCCTATCACATGCCAGGCACAAAAGCAGAAAGTCCCTGTGTGCATTCTGATTGGGGAGACAACATGCATAGGGGTATGGAGGCCAGGGAGGGGCTCTTTGGACCAGGGCTGATGAGTGGAGCCATAGGGGAGCAGAGTGACAGACTCCTTCCAGGAGTAATGACAGCATTGATTTGATCTTAGTTCTAGAACTGGGAGGAAAAGGGCAGGAAGTATAAGTGACTGGGTCTAGGTGCCCGGGGTCTGAAGCACATAGCTGGTGGCTGCCCGAGATAGTGGGGGGTGGGGAGAGCAAGGAAACAGCCACCAAACTGGAGAGTATTGGGGTAGGGATAGTCACCAAGCTGAGGAGTGGGGGGGGGACAGTCACCAGACTGAAAGGGGGGCAGGGAAACAGTCACCAAGCTGAGAAGTGGGGTCCTGGGATGGAAATCTAGGAGATGAGACGGATCAAAGTGCAGGGTGTGGTCTTTGGTTCACAGGAGGTGAAGGGAAAGGCAGACATCAGGGAATAGTGGGAGGGAGTATTGAGAAGGAATTAACACCCTGAACCTCAAGTCTACTTCCAGTTCTTCCATGATGGAAGTTTTGTTGTCTATAAAAATTAGTTGTACCAGATGGTCTCTTAGGCCCCTCCCAGCTCCAGTATTCTGTTCTAAGCCCCCACCTCCAACTCTAATAATCAATGTTCTAGGTCCAACTTGGATGTTCCATACTCTAAATCAGAGGACTCAGACACTCCTGGGCCCCAAGGGAAGGACGGGAGGCTTAGTGCTCACTTTGTCATTTGAGGCTGTGGACACTCCCTTCTCTCACCCCAGTCCTTATCATCCTTGGCACCTTCCTCTGTAGATTTCTCCTGGGGCTTTTGCTGGCCTGGAGCCTGGGCTCAGGAGCCTGTATCTAGAGAAGAATTGGCTGCAGACACTGCCAGCCATGGATGGCTTTATCCAACTGGAGGTCATCAGTCTCAGTGAGAACCCTCTACGCTGTGACTGCCAGCTGTTTCCACTACACAGGTGGGTGTGCTCTGCACAGCCCCTCTGCACGGCAGTGGGAAAGGGCTTCGCTCAGACCAGCCCATTCTAATGAAGAGAATCTGCTTGGGAGGGGCACAGCCCACCCCCCTCCACTTCCCTGTGGGGACCACATTATCTACCCAGCTAAGGCAGGTGGACATGAACAAATCCAAGGTCTGCCATTGCTTTGCCCAAACTAAGTCTGTTGGGAGGACATCTTGGAAGAAAGCAAAGGATAGCTGAGGACCTCTGTCTCCCAGCTAATGCCCCAAGGTCTCCCCCTGCTATGTCCCCAAGGGTGATCTCTCTCAATTGGAGCTTTGGGCTTTATTCAGGGGCTCCCTACAGCCACCTTTTCCCCATCCTGCCTTGAATAACTGGGCTGTCAAGGTCCCTTTCTCTTTCCCAAGAGAAGAAACCCAGAGCCAACCCATTGGCTTCTATTTTTCAAGCCCTTACACCCTCCTCTCTCTTCTCAGGTGGCTTGCTGGCCGGAACTTGCCTGGGGAGGCCACCTGTGACTTCCCACCCAGTGCTCAGGGCCAGAAGGTGAAGGAAGCCACTGCTATCTTTGAGGCGTGCCTGGGGAAGAAGGCTCCATAGAACCCATTAACCTCCCACTGGGAAGCTAAGAAAACTCACGTGCAAAGGAATCAGTTGCTGCCAGCTGTGGCTGGCTGGTCATGATGAGAGGCGCCAGTCCAGTCGTAGGCCCTAGGGTCTTTGGAAGTGGGAGGTGGAGGTCATTTTTCCTTGGGAACCAATGCTGTGGGGTGGGGGTGGAGTAGGGGTGGGGAAGACACTGTGAGGAAAGGCAGCAGCCCTCATTTGTTTAGGAGGGATGCTCTGTCCTTTACCCTTTGGTAAATAAAGCCCATGTGCCTAAACTTGGGCTCTGTGTGGGGGGCACTAGGAATTCATATTGCCTCCTGGTGGGGCTGGTCCAATTCAATTAGCAACCTCGGAGCTGGATTAACTATAATCTCTTCTGTTAACTGTTTTAAAAAATTTCAATGCAAAGCAATTATTTCCTCTCCCTCCCTAATTCAAAAGAAAAAGAAAACCCTTGCAGCAAATATGAATAGCTGAGCAGAAAAAATCCTCATGTCATTCATATTCCAAAACGTGTGTCTCATTCTGTACCCTGAATCCACCACCTCCCTAGCAGACGGTGGGAACCGTTCATCACTGGGCCTCTGGAATCATGGTGGTCATTGCTTGAGCAGAGCTACGAAGCTTTCAGAGTTGTTTGTCTTTATAATGCTGTCTCTATGCACACACTCAATGGCCACTGTGTTATCTTTAGACCCTCTGTGCATGTATGGATGGGCTCTGTGCCTCAGCCCAATCCATCCTAAGGGTATGAAGGAATTATTCCAAGTTTGTCAACATGGCTCATCCCCCATCCCTCATTTTAATCTCCTCCCAACTTTGAGAGCTAGTTTGGTGAGCCAGTGCTCAAAGCCAGGAAAATCTGGGTTCAAGTCTCCTGTCTAACACATCCTGTCTTTTTTTTTCTTCCTTTTTGAAATTTTATTAATTTATTTTGATTTATCAACAATCACTTCCATATGCTTTTGAGTTGAAAATTTTTCTCCCCCTTCCTCTCCCCCCCACCCTCCCCAAGATGGTGCACAATCTGATATAGGCTTTACATTTACATACCCATTAAACATATTTTCACATTAGCAAAGTTGTAAGTAAAAATTAAAACCAATTGGAGGAACCATCAGAAAGATGAAACAAAACTCAACAGAAGGTAAAAATAAGTGAGAGTGATTTGACTTCCATAGTTCTTTCTTTGGATGTGGACAGCATTTTCCATCCCGAGGCCTCTGGAGATGTCTTAGATCCTTATAATGCTGAGAAGGGTTCAGTTTAACAATATTAGTATCGCATAACATGGCTGTTATTGTGTACAAAGTCCTCTGGGTTCTGCTCACTTCACTCAGCATCAGACCATACAAGTCTTTCCAGGTTTTTCTGAAGTCAGCCTGTTCATCATTTCTTGTAGCACAACAGTATTCCTTTACATTCATATACCACAACTTGCTCAGCCATTCCCCAATTGATGGGCATCCTCTCCATTTCCAATTCTTGGCCACCACAAAAAGAGCTGCTATGAATATTTTTGTACATGTGGGTCCTTTTCCCATTTGTTTGATCTCTTTGGGATATAGCCCTAGAAGTGCTATTGCTGGATCAAAGGGTATCCACATTTTTGTAGCCCTTTGGGCGTAGTTCCAAATTGTTCTCCAAAATGGTTGGATCATTTTACAACTCCACCAACAATGTATTAGTGTTCCAATTTTCCCACATCTCCAACATTTATCATTTTCCTGTTTTGTCATGTTGGCCAGTCTGATAGGTGTGTTGTAACACATCCTGTCTTAATGACCCTGGGCAAGTCAGTCACCTGTTCAGTGCTCTAAATCACTCTCTAAACCCAAGTTGCAGAGAAGATGCCAACCTTCCCTGGTCAAGGAAGTTTTTCACTGGGAGCTCCCCAGGCCAATGAAATCACAGGTCCAGGCCCCAACCCCAAATTATATGACTTACAAGGAGTACACTTTTGATTAGAATACACTTTACTCCAAAAACTCAACAGTGAAAAGACATAGCCTGGAGTACAAGGCTGCCCCTGGGCAGCGTCTGAAATCTCTGCTCCCTCTAGACAGATGACTACCATGAAAATCAAAATGAACATTGGCTTTAAAATTGGTGAGTCACCACAGCCCAGGCCACTATTCCTGGTAGTAATAATCATGGTAAACCTCCATATAGGTTTGAATGTTTACAAATCACCTACCGATATGACCTCACTTGATCCTCACAACCACCCTGGGAAGGAAATGCTATTATCATCCCCAATTTAAAGACAGAGAAACTGAGGCTTAGAGGGGTTAAGCAAGTGCCCACAGCTAAGTGTCTGAGGAAGAATGAAAATTCAGGTCTTGCTGACTCCAGGTCTGGGGCATGACCCAGCAAGTTCAGAAATCTTCCCTTCCCAGTGGCTGCAGACACTCCTGTGAAGATCTCAATTCCTCTACCGTCTTCTCTTCAGGTATCTGGTCTTCCAAGAAGAGGAATGAGAGTAGCACCCCCAAAGCCTGCGTGGGCTCAGGGGCACAAAGTGTGGTTGGTAGAGAGGAGCCTTCGAAGGCTTCTCCCAAACCCCAGACACAGGGCAAAAAGCCAGAAGGCTGAGAGCAGGCAAGTGAGGAAGGAGGACTCCCAGGACTTGAGTCTGCCCTCCCGAGTTCCAGCCAGCCACTCACCTTGGGGCAACCCTCATCACTGGAAACCAATCACAGTTGTAAGTTGCTCCCTTTAAAAAAAAAAGGTCTTAATAATCAACAAACACATTCTAATATACAAATTAAAAAAACCCCATGAAACTGAGAGCTTATGTTCACACACTGTGTTTTTTAAAATGCATATTAAGTTTAACATGGTAGCAATAAAATTGCCTCATTTGTGTCCACATCTGAATTCCTAGTCCACATAAATGTGTGTCAGAGAGAAAAATGTGGTGAAGAATGCACTGCTTGGTGACAAAGTCCATCGGTGCCCGGCCCTCATTCTTCTCTCCTGGGTCCTCGGCTAGGTTCTTGGTCCCTCCAACCTCACCCTCCTGGTACCCTTGGCCACCATCATTAGCATAACATAAGGAGCACGAATGGTGCTGGTTTATAACTAGACTGCAGTTGACCCAGAGGTGGACTCTCCCTGGCTTCACCTTTTCCTGTGCCTGGCCAGTTTTTATCCATATGGCCATCAGCCACTAGCAACTTGCCCAGCTGCAGCTAAGTGGGCTGGACTTGGAGGCTAGACCTGAGTTCAGATCTTGCCTCAGATACTTACTCAGTGTGACCTTGGGCAAGTCGTATCCTCTCGGTGCCTCAGTTTACCTCATCTTTAATAATGACAGATAGCATTTACTCTATGCCAGGTGCTCTGCTAAGCACTTCACAATGATCACCTCGTTTGTCGGTATAAAGTGAGGAGGTTCCACTTGACTGCTTCCAAGTTCTCCTCCATGACACATGAAAAATACTAGCTCCTACAATTAGATTATTATGAAAAAAAATTTGCAGAAGAATAAATCAAATCAATATCGATTTCCTTAATATCTGCTGTCTTCAAGGCTCTGCGCTGGGGCCACAAAAAAAAAAAAGGAAGGCATAGCTCTTGTCCTCGAGGAGCTTACAATTTTTTTCTTTTTGGGGGGTAGGGGGTTAGGCAATTGGGGTTAAGTGACTTGCCCACAGTCACACAGCTAGTAAGTTTTTTTTTTTAAATGCGTCCGTCTGAGGTCAGATTTGAACGAACTCAGGAACTCCTGACTCCAGGGCTAGCGCTCTATCCACTGCATCACTTAGTTGTTCAAAGCTTAAGATCTTTTAAAATGTTTTTGGACCAAACAAACCCAATTTTCCTCTTATCAAGGTGCCTACAGGCTGAGATACTCCTGGATTGGTAGGGGTACTTCTACAGCCAACACCTCTTATGGTAATAATCAGGATGATAATTATGCTAATAAAACCGATGCAAGTATTGCATTTCAGAGTCTTAAGGCCAGAGAGCTCAGAGCTAGATGTGACTTTAAAAAGTAGGATTCTTTCAATCCCCCCATTTTTTAAAGGAAGAAAAGCTGAGGCCCACCCTTGGGTCCCAGCATCTCTTGGGAAGAGCTGAGATAACCTTGAGAATTCTCTTCAGCTGCCTCTTGGCCCAAGGATGGGGTGGGGCCCAGCCCAGGTTCTCTCTGGCCTCAGGACTGCTGTGCCAATGGAGATATGTTCCTAAGCAAGGGAGCTGCTACTTTGTGTCGTCCTCTGGGAGGTGATTGCTGGGCATGGAGCTGCTACTTTGTGTCGTCCTCTGGGAGGTGATTGCTGGGCATGGAGCTGCTATTTTGTGTCATCCTCTGGGAGGTGATTGCATGGGCATGGAGCTGCTACTTTGTGTCGTCCTCTAGGAGATGATTTACCTTCATCTCGCAGGGGTAAAAACCTTACAAAGAAAAGAACTAGCTTTGAGCTTATTCATTAGAGTACCGTTCTCAAAGTGTGGTGTGGGGATCTCTGGGGGACCCTGAGACCCTTTGGGGGGTCTGAGAGATCAAAACTGTTTTCATGATAATACAAAGACATTTTAATTTCGAATGTGGTAGATGTTAATAGATCTTCTGCACGCAAACAGAAGCTCTTTGGGGTCCTCAACACGAGCATGTGAAGGGGCCCTGAGGTCAAAAAGTTTGACGACCTCTGTGTTAAAAGGATGGCTTCTAGGGGCTGTGATAAGCTGCCATTCCTACTGTAACTGAGGAGAGCTCTAAATAACTTCTGGGAAGGAGAGGGTCTATGTTTATTCCACTGAGACCATTTCCTCATGACTGGGCTGGGAAGGTTCACCCATGAAGGGAAGGGCCCAACTTGCTCAGACCTGTTTTGTGTTAAAGCTTGGAAGCAATGAGCCAAAAGAGACTGGGTGTGAGCTCCGCCTGATTGGGCAATCCAGCTGGGCTTGTGCTCCAGCACCTGGGTGGGGTTTGTTACCACCTTTCCAGGTGACCCCTGAGATGTCAGGGCTGGGAGGGATCTGAAAACTCACCTGGGCCAGCCTGGTCATTTTACAGATGAGGAAACTGAGGCCCCCAAATGGAGAGGTAGTAGAGTATGTCTAGCATCAGGACAGCGGACCTGGAATCTTGGCTCTGCCTTTGACTACTGTGTAAATGCCAGCAAGGACTTTCCACTCT